TTTTCTTGGGCCAGAAGACACCCAGGAGACTTGGAGAGGAGGCCAGAAGACCTACGGGGAGGCCACAAGCCCTAGGGGCGCGCCCCTAGGCTTGTGCCCCCCCCATAGATCTCCTAACCCAAATCTTCACCATAAATACCCAAATATTCCCCCAACACCAGAAGCATCCACCAAAATACTTTTTTGCCGCCGCAAGCCTCTGTTCCCCTGAGATCGCATCTTGGGGCCTTTTTCGGCACCCTGCCGGAGGGGGGTCGATCACCGAGGGCATCTACATAAACTCTATTGCCCTTCCAATGAAGCGTGAGTAGTTTACCACAGACCTACGTGTCCACAAGTATTAGCTAGATGGCTTCTTCTCTCTCTCTCTATGATCTTCAATACCATGTTCTCCTCGATGTTCTTGGAGTTCTATCTGATGTAATATTCTTTTGCGGTGTGTTTGTCGAGATCCGATGAATTTTGGATTTATGATCAGATTATCTATGAATATCATTTGAGTGTTTTCTGAATTCTTATATGCATGATCAAATATCTTTGTATTTCTCTTCGAATTATCGGTTTGGTTTGGCCAACTAGATTGGTTCTTCTTGCAATGAGAGAGGAGCTTAGTTTTGGGTTCAATCTTGCGGTGTCCTCACGCAGTGACATAGTAGGGGTAGCGAGACACGTATTGTATTATTGCCATCAAGGGTAAAAAGATGGGGTTTTTATCACATTGCTTGAGTTTATCCCTCTACATCATGTCATCTTACTTAAGGCTCTACTCCGTTCTTATGAACTTAATACTCTAGATGCATGCTGGACAACGGTCAATGTGTGGAGTGATAGTAGTAGATGCAGGTAGGAGTCGGTCTACTTGACATAGATGTGATGCCTATATTCATGATAATTGCCTTGGATATTGTCATAACTTTGCGTTTTTCTATCAATTGCTTGACAATATTTTGTTCACCCATTGTATTATTTTCTTTCAAGAGAGAAGCCTCTAGTGAAACCTATGGCCCCCGTGTCTATTTTCCATCATATATTTTCAGATCTATAAACCAAAAAAAATTGCTGCAATTTATTTGTTTTTTACTTTGTTTTACGTTTTAGTAATCTTTTATATCTATCTCTATCAGATCTCATCCTTGCAAATGACTGTGAAGGGATTGACAACCCCTTTATTGCGTTGGGTGCAAGTGTTTGATTATTTGTACAGATGGATAGATTGGAGACTTGCGTGTATCTCCTACTGGATTGATACCTTGGTTCTCAAACTGAGGGAAATACTTATCTTTACTTTACTGCATCACCCTTTCCTCTTCAAGGGAAAAACTAATGCAAGCTCAAAAAGTAGCATACCCTACAACCTCCGATGAAGCTACACTGCTCTAGCTGACACTTAATGACGGCCAACGCGTGCATGATGAGGCCCAAGAAGCCACGTGTATGGCGGATGAGGAGGCCCAGAAGCTGAGGAAGGCCCTAGAAATTGCCGTGGTGACGGAGCGGAAGGTCATCTAAGACATGCAGGCCCAGGCTATGCTCTACAAGGGTGGATAGGGTCTCCTCTGCAATGAAGTTGGTACGCTGGAGTTGTCAGTGCAAAACTGGAATATGGTCTTTAAGAAACTGGAGGAGGAGGTGGTGCAGCTTAGGAGGTTGAGGTCCAGAACTGTTGCCGAGCTCGAGCAGGCACAAGAGCACTGCGAGCATCTGGAGGCCGCGGGAGGCGTAAGTTTTGATCTTTGAATTTGCTTTTTTCCCTTTGCCAATTGATTGTGCTTTTTGCAATAGTCCGTTGGCTAATGATAATCTTCTATGCTTTGTAGTTCCTCTTTCGAAGATCTGCCTCGAGGATGCCGAGGAGTGGCTTCGCCACTTGGCAGACTTGGAGGACATAATACGGGCCGAGCTTGGCAGCGGTTGGGATATTCTATTACCATGATCCAAGCCTCGCTCCTGACTTGGAATCCCCCCTCCCGACGAGGCTTCAAGAGTGTCCTGCTTGTATCAACGAGTGGCAGTTCTCCAGTGCCTCCGAGGGATCCTGAATGTTGCTGGCGCTTGTTTGAGCTCATTTTCCTGATGTGAATCTGAAGGAGCTCGTCACAACCAAAGCCTCGTTGCCAGGAGACCGCCATGTTTTTGATGAACTCCTAGCAGATGCCAAGTAATGTTGTTGGGGCCTGCGAACTTCTCAACGTGATTGAGAGTGGAAATTAGTATGTAATGGGCTCGGTTGAGCGTGATACAATGTAACATCACTTTTTTATATATTATTTTATTTATCTCTTTCATATTTCGTATTTGTGAAGTCTTGTGTGTGCCTTAAGAAGTCCCCTTGCCAGCCAAACCACATGCCCGTGCCTCAGATTGTATAGAAAAAGAGCCCCTTGGGGATCCGACTTGCGTGTGTTAGTCTTTTTTTAGAGAAAAGGCATACGCCCGACTTTATAGATAAAGCCATCAGGTTACCAACCACACTAATACGCGAGTAATGACACCCACAGAGGTTCAAGTTTAACACAGAGATACACCGCCAATAGGCCAAAACGCACGGCACGTATGCCGACAACCTAACATGCTAAGACCAAGTGAAGCCCGGAGAAGATTGATGGAGAGCCTCAAGTAGCACCAGGCGGTTGGGCGAGGTGAGAAGCAGACACACGAACTCTAGAAATCAACTCCTCCACAACGACATGGTCAACCTCCTTAGTCAATAATTTCCTTTGCTGCATAAAGATCAACATTTTAAACAAACAATCAGCCGGTCTGTTAAGGAAGATACACTCAATTGTAAATTTGTATCTAGTGGTCCACAGGGCCCAACAGAGCGCTGGGAACCCCACCTAAAAGAGGTGTTTTTCCTGCCCCAACAACACAGAGGCTAGGGGCCTCAACTCAGTGAATGAGGACGGGGCCAAATTCACTCCCAACCAATCACGTATAAAGGCCCAGGCCAACTTGGCAAAGACACAACTGAAAAAGATATTTTTTTAGAGAAAAGGCCAGAGCCCGACTTTATAAATAAAGCCACATGGCAGCGTCACGAGACCAAACAGGAAAGAGACCAGTTAACGTGGAGAACGCACACAACGCACGGAACGAAAAGTATATAAGAGTAGCCAAGAAAGGATGGATACGGGCAACTGCCATACACGACGCGCAGGCCGAAAAGGAGCACAACGGTCCGACCCAGGCACAACTGTCAGAGTTAGCCTTTGGCAGGTATCCATGATGGATTAGGGTTTGCTTCTCAACTTCTAGTTAGGACTTAATTTTCAGGATACCAAAGTAAAGAGATAGGGCGATCTGGGTATGAGCATGTGCCTTTTTTTTAAAACGAAGGTCAGTACCTTGATGCAGCCCCCGGGCACTTGGCAGTTTTCGAAAGGTCGTAGGATCCAACACCTAAACTGGCTACCGGGGAGGCGTCCATTGTTATGATGCAACCCCCAAGTCGGGTTTAATGGTGGATATTTAGCCGCTTCCTCGAAGCCTACCGCATGGGGTCAACACGTTTTATGTGTATGTGTTAGCGATCATGTATAAAGGAAGCCATAAAGGATGTAATGGAACACCTTTATTCATAATCTATATGATCGAGCTAATGAAGAATAACACGAATAAAACGTTTGTAACTGAAAGCAGCAACGCAACTGGGTTGATGTTCCGCATGTGGCACCGATCTAGCCTGCATGAGCCTGTCAATGCTTTGTTTCGTTGCGCTTCTAGCCGGTCTGAGCCGATGCCATGCAGGTGGAGCCAAATGGGTCAATGGGAGTCATCCGGGCTACCGATTCCTCCTTGTCTGGGCAGGGAATCTTCTGTGTTGCCGGCACTACTTCATCTGTGGTGGTACTGTAATCTGTGTCATGGAAGGTAGGTTGACGACCTCTCCTTCTAGCGCGGTCTTGGGGTATGCTGGAAATTGTGATGATTTTATTAGGCTCCGGCATCTTAAGTTTCATGTAGACGTAGGATGAAATCGGCATGAATTTAATGAAGACCGGGCAACTGATAAGGACATGATAGCCTCGTTTGAGAGGGACAGAGATCTTGACGTACTGCAAGATGCAGTTGAGCCACTGACATGTGAATTGAAAAGTAGGTTGGTCCACCTGTCAGTGATCCAATTGCATCATGCAGTCCGTCACTGGAGTTGAGTCCTTTGAAAGAGAGTGCTTCTGCCGGTTTCTTGAAAAAAACCTTGACTGAAGAAAAACAAAAACTCTATAACCGCAACCACGGCCAAATCTAAATCTAGCCAGGAAGACCTGATCGATCATGGTTCAATCATGATTCAGCTGTACCTACTCGATCGATCTTGGAGCTACAGCCGCAGCCGCAGCCGCAGGTGGACTGTTTACACTGACAAAGATATACTGACAAGCTGACTGACTGCCGTGTCAGGATGCGCCGCATTGGAATGGGGTGCATTTATTGGTGCGTACATCCAGGTAATGTGCGGTCGACGTATGCATGCGTATAGCTGTACGTTACATTACAGTATGATGCTCCCTACCCGGCCACTTAGTATGGTCACGTGAGATATACGTACGCTTCATCGTCGATCCACCAAACATATTGTGGGTTCATGCGTTCCATCACTTTGCAATCTTCACTTATTTCAGCGCGCTATATATCTTGCCTACCTGCTGTATGCTAAGTACCTACAGTAGTTTCCATTTGTCTCCTGTTTTTGTTTAATTTGATGAATCAACCTGAAAAAGCGATCCACAGGCATGCAAGTGGGAGAGAGTCCGGCATGCGTGCATGCATGCAGTAACGACCCCAGCTGGTGGCCAGCCACGCCATGGCGTGCGGTTTTTAAGGCAGGCACCATCCACTACGTGCGTACGTGCATCGCCCGCCCGGTCCATGAGTCCAACTCCATTAACTTCGCCCCACCCTGCTCCTAGCTAGTCGCCTTCTTCCTCCATCCCTACCTAGGTGGCTCCTCCATCGTATATTTACACGACGAGACGGCGGCGCTACTGCTCCGTGCATGCATGCATATGTGCAGTCAGGCGGGGACACCGATGGAAGACGACGACGCGAGCGGGATCATTCTCTACTGCGACGAAGACCCTTTCGCCGACGACTCGACGCCAATTCCACCACCGGCAGCACCATCCGGCGGCGACGTTGACGATGTGCAGCAGGTGGTTGATCTGGCCATGGCGTACAAGGCCAGGGAGCGATGCTTTGCGCCCGTGGGATCGGCTGCCTACATCCACCGTCTCCTACACGACCATCATCAGCACGGCGGGGTGTCAAGCGCTAGGGCCAAAGCCGTCCACTACATCATCTACGTACGTCGTCCATGTCCTAGTATTACAGTTCATTCGTTTTCCTTTGATGAGGTTTTGCATTTCGAATTTCGGTCACTTTGTTGAATTTGGTCATTAACATTTAACGAGCTAATTCGTTGCATCAATACATACATGCATATATGCAGGCGTTTAGCCGGTTGGGATTGGCGGCTGCGACGGCGTTCAACGCGGCCAACTATCTGGACCGCTTCTTGTCCATCAACTGCCATCTGGTCAGTCCTGCAATTATCTTGTTGCTAGTGTTAAATTATCTCATGTTTGCGTTTGTTCTCTGGGGGATTATTTTTGCTCATAGATCGATCGATGTCACTAAAATGTTGCATGCATATATGTAACCTAATGGCAGAGTTGGGAGGTATGGATGGTGGAACTGGTGAGCGTGGCGTGCTTGTCGGTTGCATGCAAGTTGGACGAGGTCACCATACCATCCCTCCACGATCTACAGGTACGTACGTGCACTACTAGATCCGATCGATTGCTTTATATTCGATCACGAGCTCCCTGTGATTAGTACGTAAAAGATATGCAACCATGCATGCAAATTCGACCCAAGGTTAATTAATGTATTTCATGGGCCGGCCTGATAAATTAATGATGGATGATATGCGTGATGGATGGCAGATGGAGGAGGTGACGAGTCATTCGTTCCGGGCGTCGACCATCCGGGACATGGAGCTGACGCTGCTCAAGGCGCTCCAATGGCGGCTGTCCTGCGTCACCCCATACTCCTACCTCGACCTCCTCCCGCTTCCCACCACCGCCGCCGCCAATCGATCTCGTTGCATCCGCCTCCTCCTTCGATCCCTCTCCGGTACTGTGCTACCTGCAGATTGATTAATCAATTTCTCTCTAAGTAAAGAAATATAAGATCTTTTAGATCACTCGATCTAAGAAAATCTTATATTTTTGTCATTTCTCTTGTAACTTTTTCCTTCTAATTCAATTTGTCTTAACCACGTACATCATGCAGAGCCCTCGTTTCTCCGATTTGACGCCTCTGTGGTTGCCGCCGCTGCACTCAGGTGTGTGGCCCTACTGCAGGATCATGCCCATCTCATTATCCCTCCACTCTGTCGATTGGTAAAAAAAATTCACAACAACGTCCCTTGACACTCTTGTTTTTTTCCCTATAGGATGTATATATAATCATTGACCCCGTACGTGTTAACATTCTACAGGGCGATGAGTCTGACGAGTGCTTCAAGATGATGAAAGCACTTGAAACAAGCTTGGATCATCATCAATATCACAAGTACAGTACTGCTGATCAGCTGCAGGGGAGTCCGATTTCAGTGATTGCATTCGAGAGCACTGAGCGTGACAGTACAGTTAACAGCAGGTCAGCACTCAGTCGGCGCCTGTTTGGCACACCAACAACACTGGACCCATGAAGATAGATAAACCCTACACACATATACAGGAGATGCGTGCAGAGTGACCTCACACAAGAGTAACAACTGATCAAACTAGTTAAGCTCATTATAATACCATTGATTGTTAGTACGTACCATTTCTCAACTGTGATGTAGCTAATCCTGCAAAGTAACTTACCGTGTACATGTTCTTCAATTCGTTATGTAATACATGTATGTAGAAGCACGCACATATGTATTTGTGTTGTGCGCGCTTATTTGTTGTTGTTCAGTGTTATGTTTTATGGATAATTTCATAAAAATGTGTTCTGTAATGTACATCTATCATTATAAACCAGAACAATTGGTCTGGTAGAACTGAATTGGGTCTTCAGAGTTCAGTTGTTGTGTTGAACCATAATCTTGGCTTCTTCAGTCTGAAGGAAAGACAAAAGGGACTCATCATCAGCGACAGTGAGATCGACTGGAAGAGTCCGCCTTTCTTATTTCGAAAGTAGGAGTACTCAACATTACATGCTTTATCATGTGTGCTTTGTGATGAATCAAATTGATATGTTGCCGGATCGCACGCACTTCCGTAAGATCGACATGAGTAAAGCAAAAGAGATTCCAATGATCACGAACTGGGGCTACCGCTGGCTCATTCTTTTCGTTAGTTATCCAAATCTACAGCACAGTAGGTAGCCAAGTAGACGAAAATAAAGCAAGAAACCCGAATCACAAGCAAGGAATAGATCCTGAGGGAAGAAGAAGAAGATAGCAATCCCCAAAGGAGAAGGAGAAAAGAAAAGTTGGTATTTGCAGGGGAACGTACACCTTTAGAGTCTGCTCTATCTCCCTGACCTGATTGTCGGCTACAAGATATGTAGATGCAGTTGCAGGTAGCCCACTCACTGATGAAATTAAGCTAGCAGCTAGCCTGAAGAATTGATCTTCAGAGTCTAATTCTTAATCTCCATTGCACGTTTGCAGGGGAGTAGCCAGCATAGCATAGTTTCAGTTCAGATAACTAACTGCATAGAGTGCAGCTTGAATGCACTGGAGCTTAAACTTTTGTCTGTTTCAGACATGGAAGAGAGAAAGAAAGAAGGAATATCAAATAAATAAAGGTTCATGCAGGAACAAAGTAGCAGTACTTATTAAGTGGTTCAACTGTCAAATTTCATAGGTTTTCTTTGCAATATTATTTTCAGTATGGTTACTATACTACTTAAGAGTAAGACCACCACACCCCCTGCTCCACTTCGAAGTTCGAGCTCAGAGCAAGACACACACACGCAGACGCCATGGCCTCCCCTAAGCTCTTCCTTCTCCTCATCAGTGTCATCATCTCCATGGCAATCACTAGTACTCGTAAGCATGCATCATCATCTAGCTAGTTCTTTAACTTCAATGCAGAGTTTTTTTTTGTTTGCAGCGAACTTCAATGCAGAGTATGTGCACGGTGATGTAATGTCCGTACGCCTAATGCATTTGTCTGATGGTTTTCAGCGGCGGCTGCGGCAAATGGTCGCATACATCTCATCATGGTGAACAACTGCGCCGAGTCGGTGTGGCCGGCCATGCTCGGCACCACCGGCCACGCCACGCCGCAGTCGGGCGGCTTCCACCTCGGCCCCGGCGAAGAGACCACCTTCGACGTGCCAGTAGGGTGGTCGGGGCGGGTGTGGCCGCGCCGGGGCTGCTCCTTCGACGCGCGCGGCATGGGCAAGTGCGCCACGGGCGACTGCGGCGGCGTGCTGCGGTGCGGGGGCGCCCCGGGCGCCACCCCGACCACCGTGGTGGAGATGACGCTGGGGACTCCACAGTCGCCGATGCACTTCTACGACGTGAGCCTGGTGGACGGGTTCAACGCGCCGGTTTCCATGACGCCGGTCGGTGGCGGCCGCGGGTGCGGCGTGGCGGCGTGCGGGGCGGACCTGAACGTCTGCTGCCCGTCGGCGCTGGAGGTGAGGGACCGGGAAGGGAGGGTGGCCGGTTGCCGGAGCGCGTGTCTGGCGATGGGCAGCGACAAGTACTGCTGCACCGGGGAGTACGGGACGCCGGCGGCGTGCAAGCCCACTATGTTCTCGCACCTGTTCAAGGCCATCTGCCCCAGGGCCTACAGCTACGCCTTCGACGACGCCTCAAGCCTCAACCGCTGCAAGGCCAACCGATACCTCATCACATTCTGCCCACCACAACCTGAATGATGCATCGCTATCAATCACCATGTACTTATATTTCTGAATCCAAAACCTGAGTGAACTGTGTAGCTACATGGAGTATATGATACTATAGTATGAGGGTGTTATTTTGGCTTATGATATCAAAGAGACACGTATTATCATGAAAAAAAGTGAAAAGACCAAATAAAAGCTTAACCAAACACTGTACAGCCTGATCCCAAACCAGTCAATTTTTTTTACAAGTCGGCAGCTTAACCGATAAGTTCTATCCACAAACGAACAACGACGTGTAGCAAGTTCAAAGGTTCCTTAAAAAAAGGCATAGTTCAAAGGCATAACACGCCAGACGGGGGTGATGGCGGAGACACAAATCTTAAACATCATCAGCGAGATGGCGTCGGCGTTCCAGCTCAAGCGAGCAAGCTTATTGATGTAGAAGGGCAACCATTATGAATACGATAATCCTACACCCCGCCTGTCGTGCGTCCTGCTGTTCGCGGCGTGCGGCTCTACGCCACCCAGGCGGGGCTGCGCCGCCGCTGGCATGGCGCGTACGTCCGCCGTCGCCCTCACCACCCCTCCTTCAGATCCATGCTCATAGGTGCTGGGTGGATTGTCGCGGTTCCCCTGCCTTGGGCGGGCCATGCGGCTCCGGCGCCCTCGGCCTGGTCGCTTACGCGGCCAGGCATTACAGCTGCGTCTGGTTTGTGCCCGTGTCAGTCGCGTTTAGCATGGAGGACTGCTGCCACTAGCCGCAGTTCCCTCTAACCTTCGGCTTTCTGTCTCCGGGAGAAATCCCTTCCCTGGTTCCTTGCCAGCGGCAGCAACGGCGACGCCTTCCCGGCACCGCTTCATCTTCTTGGAGGCGCTGTTGTAGAGTTCAGCGCAGCTATGGTTTTGGACGAAAGTCCTGCGATGATGGCTCCTGTGGGCGTCATTCTACCTTCCTGAAGGTATCGCAAAAACACATGCTTCAATCCACTCACCTACGCCCGCCCATCCCATCATCGACTTTTGTCTCTCCGTCGAGCCACTCACCGTCATCCTTCGATCTGTCTCGTGTTCGTCCTCGGTGTTGTTCCCCGATGTCGGCCATGTTGTTGTGCATGTTCAACAGTGGCCATTGTGCTGCGGCGAGCTTAGTGCTCTTGGTGTTGTTCCGGTTCATCTTTGCTCTTCGATGACGCAAGATGCCTCCCCAACTTGCTAATCGTCCCGAATTCCCGTGGCGGAGCTCCCAGTCAAGGTTCGTGTTGTTACTCGTTGGTTGTGGATGCTCCTGAGTAGTGTCGTGAGGTTTGGTACGCACGCCGGTGCGGTGCGTTAGGTTGCTTGCTTAGTCTTGGTATTGTGATCCTCCGATGACACCCCTCTTCTACTTGTGCCTCCATGGTGTTGGTCCTTTGGTCTGCTAGCTAGGTCATCCCTTGTTCGGGGCGTCCTTTTTTTCTCTTCTCTTCTTCAGTCATTGATGTGCGTCATTTTTTTCCTCTCTTCTTCTGTAACCTTGTTGCTTGTACGGTTTTCGGCCCGGTTTCCCTTATAAACAGGGTCAATTTGTTTAGGTTTTCGATCCTGTTTCCCTTATAAACTGGATCAGCCAAAGTTAAGGGGTGACTCTTGGCTTTGGCAGCTTTTTGAGCAATATATTCAGGTGGGGACTTCCCCCCCGGTGACCGTTCAAAAAAAAGATAATCCTACACCTACGTAGTGCCTACGAATGCCTATGTAACTTTCCATACAACTAAATCTCTCGGCCCCTGATTTTAACGGGGGTGGGCCTGTGCCCTCCTACAGATCCAATAATCTCTCTCCACGACACTGTTTACGTAAAACACGTACAAGACCTTACGTAGGTCTAGCATTGCCCTTATGAATAGGTAATCAAAAGGGCGGTTAGGGAATATGCGTATGGCAGTAGCTTTTTATGAATTATCTGCAGAGATGAACAGAGCGAACAAAGGCAGTCCAAAAAACACGAATGAATTGACCCAAAAAATTAGCAATAAGAGCAAACATATCAGCAAAGTTATTTGGATTACAGATTACGTTCAACCATGATAGAAAGTAGCTTCAAACAACTCTATATAAGACACCTTTGAAGAATATGTGTTTCATGTATGTGTTCTCTCCACAGAGAGAACAAGCCGCAACTACATTACCATTACGTTTAAGGATCTGATCACCAGCTGGGAGACAACCTGCCAAAGGAAAATTTTAACCTTAAGAGGGATCCACGCACGCCAAACGCCGGAGAAGTGGTTAGTCTGATGCTCCTCGATGAGCTTAAAGGGATTTGACCGAGAACCTACCCGCGGTGGAATGGGAAGAGATCACTCTATCTGGAGCCTCTGAAAGGGAAAGGGAAGGGAACATGGTAGAGACCTCTTGACAGTTCACTAGCTCTACAAGAGATACACATCGTTGGAACCCAAGGTCCCAACTATTGCCATCAAGATCCGAGGAAATCTTAGGATTACATGAGTAAGAGAACAAAGTAGGGTAGGAAAACTTAAGGGGGCATGATGAAGACTGCCTGACAAGTCTTAATTAAGACCAAAGGAGACTGTAAGTCACTTCTCTTCTTACAATAACAGTAGAGTTCACCTAATGGGAAACAAAATCGGCTGGTTCCACTATAGTTAAATTGCTGCCAATCACAACAGCTCTAGGACGAAAGGGAGAATAAGAGATACACTCAAAGGAAACATTTCTAAAGAAAGAACATCAAAACAAAAGCTAGACTAATTGGGATGGTGTTGGTGGAAGGGAGCTGGGGAACCCTGCCCTGGCGTTGATGAGCCTCTCGACATGTGTAATGACATGCCTCCCATGTGTATAGTTGACCAACATGCCCTTGTTGCATATCACCACATCCATGATCACATTGAATTGCCTCTCAACCGCCACCTCAATCATCTTTTGCACGACATAGTTAGCATACTGGTGGGTCATCATACCCTGCATGACCAGACGACAATGTAGGACCAGTTATGTATTCTTGCTAGGCATGTAGGGTAAAAGTGGTAAGATTTTAAGAAGAGACCAGAAGATGATCATCGGTTTGACCACCACCGACGAAGAGGATTTTAATTATGACCACATTGCGATCATGCTAGCCGCCGTACTTTAGGCACTTCTCGATGAAATTGGAAGAGTGCTTCATGTATCTCATGTGTACTATTTGCCCGGCAAATTTCAGCACAATAGTTTGTCGATGATGAGGCCCTCTATGCTTCACAATGTACTGTAACATGTCCATAAAACACATGTAATGCGTACGTTCAGATGAGACAAGTTTTCATCAATTAAAACATTCCATACTTTAGTTGCAAAACTTAGCTTCCATAAGGATCTATCGACAGCTCATTTACACACTTGAGAATCTCCGTGACAAACACATGCATAATTTGCAGACCCTTGCAGAACTCCAGCATTTTCTAGGTCACATGTAGAAAAAACTAATGTTTAGATAGAAAATTCAAAAAATAGAAACCAGTTAAAAGTGCAATGCCCAAACTAATAACCTGGACAACATGGCATCCAAAAGGATGGGAGAATAACATCTTGGCCTTCCCACATAAGCTTCTATAGATGAATCGAATATGATGTGTTGGCACACACTCTATACATTTCTGGATGACATAGTTTGCATGTTGATCACAAACACATTTCAATAGGGATCCACCAGCTCCTTGGTCATCTCTATCTGCTAATCAATGTCACTTTCTTCGAATGCATGAAGAACAAGTCACGAGATCAATTGCCAAGCTCATATCATGGCACAAAGATAAGCAGAAACAACCATAATTAGCATAAACTATGTTATTAATTCGACGCTACATGATATTCATTATAGAAGCTTTCTAAGATAAAGAACACATTAACAAGAGAGTAAACGACTTACAAAATTACGTTCTATCTTATAAAATTGCACCTTTGTAATCTATAAATACATCTTAATTTTTTTTCTTTTTTCACGAATACGCAAAGATTGCGTATATTTTCATTGATAGGAGAAGATAAGAACAACATGGGATTACAATAGCTCACTAAGCCATGTACACGGGAAGGCATGGAAGTGAGCTAGGAGCATAACAGACATGGGGTTGCTCAGCCCCACGAATCCACCAAGACTAGCTCTCAGGGATGATATTTTGTATTCCGGTAGCGCCGGACTTAGCCCACATGCGTGGTTCGTCTCTAATGATGTCGGATAGCCGGGAGATAGAGGGCTGCTCGCCATCGAATATGCAAGTGTTCCGATGCTTCTAGAGGCACCATGTGGTAAGGATGATTAAGGAGGCCAGACCCTTACGCGCCGGGGACGACGAATGGTCGCGGGATGTCTTCCACCAGGTGTAGAAGTCGGTGTCACTGCTCGGTAACTCAACGGTTGATCGAACCCATCTTAGTATCTCATGCCAGATTTGGCGGGAGAAAGGGCAACCGCCAGCTGATAATGCACTGTCTCCTCCTCTTGATCGCAGAAGGCGCAGGAGTCCTCATGGGGTAGGCCATGACGAGCGAGGCACTCAGCCGTCCAGCAGCGGTCTTGCAGACCAAGCCAGATGAACAATTTTATACGTAGAGGCGCCCATGGCTTCGAGGTGAGCCGCCAGTGTGGGTCCTCGGAGGCACCCAGGAATAGAGCCTGATAGTATGAGCTCGTAGAATATGTAGCCGAAGGGGTCCAACGCCATCGCAGAGAGTCTGGCGAGTCGGAGAGAGAAATGTGGCGTACGCAGCGCCAGAGCTCCATGTACTGAACCATGGTGGCCGGGCCAAGGGCGCCCTGGATTTCCTGTACCCAAGAGCGTAGGTGAAGACCATCGATCATGGTGCGGGCCTTGCGCCGCCGACGGCTAACAAGCACGAGGACGAGTGGGGCGATCTCAGCCACAGATAGACCATTGATCCAGTGGTCACTCCAAAACCTGCAGGTGCGCCCATTGCCAAGGGCCCCGGAAGTGTACGCGCGGAAGGTCCTTGATGGCCGGGTCCTGGGGGATGTGCAGGTGGCT